TAAAGAGACATGACACCCAGAAGGTAATAACTTATCTAAGGTCACAGTTAGTGGCTAAGAAGAGAATAGATCTGGGTTGCCCATCTGTCACCAGTGGGTACAAGGTAAATGTAACAATTCATATAAAAACTGATTTTTCATTGTGAAAATACAGAAAATTATAATGACACCTTCCAAAGACAAGCAGTGTCTTTTCCCAGCATTAGTTTATTTTTTCTTCCACTTGTAATGATGTTGTAATGTTTCTGTATCAACCTAACACTAAAGCACAAACATTTTTGCAGAATCTCCCCATTTATGACAGCTGTGTAATAATGCAGTCTCAATTGTTTGTTGTTCAGTAACACTACGTAAAGCCCCTTCTGTGTTTGGGGAAATCTCCTAAGGATATAATCCTAAAGTGGAAATGTCACTTCATGATAATGCTTTAGAAATTACAGGACACGAGAAGGAGAGGGATAAAACCGCATGTTCACTCTTAAGAAGCTGATGGTTAGCTGCAGGAGTTGTAAGGATCTGGACATCTTTCTGAAGCTTGGCCATTCAACCAGTTAGCAAACATTTGTGTGAAAGATTTGAGAGGGGGTAATGTGGCAGCAGAGCTCACCCGAGAACCGCAGCTTGCTACTACCATTAGATCCCAAATCCTCCCTTTGTTGAAAAGACACACTTAGCCTAATAAATGACGTCTCAATGGAAGGACGTGCTTGAGAAAACCAAAAACCTCTCCCACCCGCAAACCCGTTTTGACTGTAAGAAACATATTTTTATTTCACCCCCGTTTTGCATAATCCCTGGACTATTTCCTTTAATAAAAAAATCAGTTGTCACTTAAGGGATGTCACTAAAGCAAAACCTAAGTAGGAAGGTAAAGCTCCTGTAAAGAAGAGTACCATCCAAATGATGAGTAAATCGCCTATTTTGGTACTGTACACTACACTGCATTGTTACTTTTTTCCTTTATTCATTTTAGAGAGAGAGGAAGGGAGGAGAGAGACATCGATGAGAGAGAACATCGACTGGCCGCCTCCTGCATGCTCCCCACTGGGGATTTGGCCCACAACCTGGGCATGTGCCCTGACTGGGAATCGAACTGGCAACCACTTGGTGCCTGGGTCAACGCTCAACCACTGAGCCACACTGGCCGGGCTTCCTCCATTATCTTTATGAGAATACTAAACTGGCACTCTCCCTCTCGGGGAGCCTCCAGCTATAGGAGCCTTCATTCAAAGTGGACCCTTTGCCCCAGAGGAATAGAAACATGGTGTAATCTGAACATGGGTCATTCATTTTGGATGTCATGTGATGTCACCCATTAATTAACCTACAGAGGAAGCTCCATCACCTCACTACCTCAGTTAAGGATAGCTATGTAAATGTTTCATGAAGAAGTGAATGACTACTTTGCCATTTTCACTTCTATTTGTGGAGTCTGTCACGCTCCTGTTGACATCTGAAGGAACCTTACACACACTTCCCAGAGCTGAGCCACTGAGAGATGCAATGGTTGGCGATCCAAAAAGTCATCACCAACCCTCACTCCAAAAGGCTGGAAATCCCTATGCTTGCCTTTCCAGCCAGGGTAACAGCTCAGAGTAGTCATGTGACCCAGACTACTGCAAAGAAAAGCTACTGGAGGCTTCTGGGAAAACTGCTTTCCTGATAAGAGAGACAGGTAAGTGGTATCATGTCTTCCCTTACTTCCTGACTTGAGTGCACATATATCCATGGCTAGTCAGTCAGATCATCACTATGAGGGAAAGGTGAGGAAGAAATGAATCACTGGCCCCGAATTCTTGAGCTGATAAACACTAACAATGACCTATATCCAAATTTTTTTCTAAAATATTTTTTCTTTATTGATTTTAGAGAGAGGAAGGGAGAGGGAAAGAGAGATAGAAACATCGATAAGAGAGAACATAGATTGGCCACCTCCTGCATGCACACCACTGGGGATTGAGCCCACAACCTGGCCATGTGCCCTGACCAGGAATCAAACCGGCAACCTCTTGGTGCAAGGGTCAATGCTCAACCACTGAGTGACACCGGCCAGACTATATCCAGATTTTTTATGAGAAAAATAACTCCCTATTGTTTGAACCATTTAGTGGTCAAATTTTCTATTGCATACTGTACACAGTATCCATAACTGCTTCTTTTTTAACATAGATCAAGTATTTCTTTGTAATCTTTTCCAGTTTTTTAAAACTCCAAAAAAAATTATCACCATAATTCCTAATCAAATTAACACAATTATTTAAACATATGTACACTACATATTATAGTATATGTCTCCATATGTTACTGTAATAAAGGCAGAATACATTCATCATCATCCTAGCTATATAATAATAAATCAAAATTCAGAAGTACTGAAGCTAATATTACATGAGACATTGCTGGTAGGTTAGCATGTGCAATACTAATCTTTATTTTCCAGTTTATATGTATACTTTTGGAAGAGTTCAGGAAGTTAAATTATATAATTTAAGTTCTGACATGAAACTATTCATCAGCACTTAAGGTTAAAGCAACTTATACAGACAGTATCAATGATAAATTATAAGAGTCTAGAAATTTTATTTTGATATATTTTGTAGCAATTTAAAATATATACAAATTTTACTTATATTAACACATGCTCTTGGTATAATAAAGGTTCTAGTTTTACAGACAGGTTCATAAAAGAATTATACATGTCTTCAAAATAAAATAAATATATAGTACAGGTTTCATTAAATTGCAAGAGATGAATTTTTATTTAATTATACATATAAAAATCTTTGGAAACAATAAAATAATGAAAAAATTATAATTCCAATTTCCTGTGCTCTGACTAATCTAATGTTTCCTCTATGCTCAGATCCCATCATCCCCTACCTCTGGAAATTGAATAAGCAAGCATGGGAGACATCAGATAAGAATTATACAACACAGGTTCTAATGGAAATCTGCTCAGTTCCCTAACCTTCTCTGGGTTCTGTTCATTTATCCATAGGGTTGGGATAGCTATAGCACCAGCTAAATTAAAAAACACTGGACTTTATTTACAACAAAGTTTAAGGATGTTATTGTACTCTTGAGTAAACAGGTAAAACTTTTGTCTATAGCCAAAGGGAATTACTCAGACCTAAAAGCTTTTTGCACTGGAGATTATTTCAGACACAGAAATCTACAGTTCCAAATATATCCAACCCCAATGATCAGTGAAATGAAGAGATTTTGAACATTTACAACCTCTTTCATACTGTAGAAGTTTTTAGTATACATAATTGCAGAACACTAAATTCTCACAATTATTTTTGCTGATTATTGTGTCAAACTTCAAGAGTGAGTCAAGAGTTAAAATAAAACTAATATTTCATGCAAAAGTATCACATGATAAATTACTGTTTCTTGTATGAAAAAATAGGTACTATGTAATAAAAACCACTATGCCAAGTATTCCTGCATACACATCTAATACAAACTAGCTATAAACTAGAGAAAATAATCATCCACATAATAACAAGGCAGATTGTATTCTTTCATTAACTGCCCCAATGAAAAGTTATCTTTAAAGGAAGTTTTTGAGGGCTATACTTATTTTATTGACAACTACTAAGTGATTTATGTCTAATGTTCGGAAGTCCCCATTTAGCAAGCTCTGAAGGCTCCAGAAATCAGAAAATATTTTGTATTCAAGAGTAATCCCATGAAATTCTCTACTTCATTATAGAATAACAAATCAATATATATACTATAGAACTGTGCTGTTCAGTACAGGCTACTGGCCTCATATGAATAATGAGCACTTAAAATGTGGCTAGTCCAAATTAGTACAATACACACAAGCTTTCAAAGACTTTGTATAAAATAATATAGAATATCCTTATGATTTTTAATATTGACTACATGTTGAAATTATATTCTGGTTCTGTTGAATTAAATGAATTATATTATTAAAATTAACTCCAGCTACTTTTTTGTTTAATGATGCTGCTAAAAATTTAAAATGACACATGACTTCACATTATTTTCCTATGCTATAGCACTGCTATGGAAACAGCAGACTCACGAGTCCCAACCCACATCGTCACATTTTTGTATCATTATGTATTTGAGATAACATATTTTAATACATTAACACAAGATTCCTGAGCTTAGATTCAAATATACTGCTACTCCTAAAAACAAAAACAAAAAATCCTACTCTAATCTTTTTCATCTTCTGTACACTTGCAACAGTGCTAAACTTTGGTCAGGCCTGAGTCTGCAAACAGGCACAGGGTCTGTTTGGAAGGTGAAATGTTCTGAAACCGGATTGTGGTGATGGCTGTACAACTATAAATGTATTTTTAAAAAATCACTGAACCGTATACCTACAACCGGTAAATTGTATAGTATGTAAATTATACCTCAATAAAGCTGCTTGTTTTTAAGTACACAGCTAGAGCATGGCAGACCTAAAGCGCCATTTAGAAGCTGCATCTACATTTCAGGTAATTCAAATATAATTTTTCAATCCATGACTCAGTTGCAATGAAAACTTTTCCATGTGTATCCTTTTACCTCCTGTGGGTCCACAGTAAACAGCGGTTATGGAATCACTAACTGGAGGTATACACTGAAAAGGACAAAGGGAATACTAGGGTCACTGAGAGCGGACCGTTCACTTGTGTTCAGGGGCACCCGGGTCAGGCAGTCGTAGCCCTTATGCACAACATTGTTGCCAATCCTTTCCGTAATCTGGGCACCTTTGTCGTTGAACATCTATTGGTGTTTCATCATCTTAGATTGAATACTGAATTATAAGAAACTTCCTATGCTACACTAATAAAACCAAATAAAAAAATAGAAAGTCAAAATCAACATTTAACAATTCCTGTGGGAAACGGAAAACTAAACTGCTGAGTTTTCTTTTCCTATTACAAGAAGAAGAAAAATGGGAGAAAAATCCAGCAACTCAAAGTTAGTCAATTTAGAAAAAAATATTGATTAATATATTTCCAGTTAAGAAAATGAGACCATTTCATCATTGCTTCTGCCAGATCATGAAACAAATTATTTTCCGTCTAAAAACTATGAGATTATTCACCATGGATATTGTAGTGCATCAACCTTTTATTTATTTATTTTGAACTTCATTACTAATAGCAAAACAATAAAAATAAAGACAAAACTAGTTCAACTTTTTGTACTTTATCAAAACAGGTCTGAGGAACCATGACTGATGCTTTTTTTAAACTCAGGAAAACATAACAAAGTAAAACACAGATCAAACCTCTATGCACTTGAACCCCTATACGCTCTTGTGCTTTTGTGGCCCTTCTGGCATGCGTTTCCAGAGCTCACGTGACTTCATATTAACCAAAAAATGAAATGAAACAGTAACAATAACACAGAGAGAACTCACATTGAACAACAAAACAGATTTGAAGATGTGTGCATGTATACAAACATACATTAAAAAACTTGCCTGGACACACTGAGTCGCCTCCAGTTCTCATTTCAGAAGTAAACGAGGTGGAGAGTTCAAAAGCCAAAGAGTCATTTGCAATGTTGAAATTGTATAGGAATGTTCATTTAAGGTGGCCATAGAATCAACAGGCCTATTATAGGCCATTCTAGTTATAAAATGACTCATGTAGCATTTGGACACATGTCTGCATTTGTTACAGTTTCAGACAAAAGTTACATCACAATTGTGAATGTTTATGAGTAGTTAGTTAATGCTTTATGAGTTGAGTGTTACTTTTAAAATTGAAACATGTACAGAACATTAATTGAATTTCATCTTCTAGAGAGATGATTCCCTGTTGCTAAATACAGGATACACCACCCATTTCACACAACCCAGACTACTGTCCAGTCAGTAAGGTGTTCCCAGCACGCATTTGGCAGTTTTTATACTTTTATTTATGTATAAATGCTTTAAGACTCCCAAAAGAAATGTACATAAAGATACAACTATATTTTTAAAGGTATCTACAAAATAATGCTATCTAGGTATCAAAATTGAATTGCATTTTATTTGAACCTATAGGTATAATATCTATCTTTTTCCTATTTCCGATCTTAATACTTAAAGTAGTACAAGTCAATTGACAAAGAGGTTAATTTCTATAAAATATAGATAAGAGTTTTTTCTTTATTCCAAGATATTGGCAAACTCATAGAGCATACCAAAAGTAAAGCACTAATATGAAAAAAATGATGACTTTTACAAAATGTGCATAAAGCTCTAAAATAGATTTTAACCTAACAGCATGAAGCTTGTGCTCTAATTTCCAAGCAGCTATTCATTTTCTTAAGAGTTTGGCTCAAAGAACTGTTATCTACTTACATACTCTCCACTCATAGATATACTGTCATACCAAACAATGTGCATAGAACTATTTAAGAAAATGACAATGCTCTCTCTTGGATATTTACATCATGAAAAACATAACCCAAAAACATCTCAAATTCGTCTACAGGTTACAAAGAAGAGAGGAAAGGGTGATGATCTTTACAGGCCATTTTGCTGAGAGGAGTTGATTCAGGGACCACAGTACTACAAGTTTGAACACCTTATGCCTTTTGTAAGGCTTTCCGTAAGTCACCATAGAAGTTGATTAAAGTGCTTGCCATGGCTGTATCTACTGCCGACTGAGGAATCATCCCATGCAGATCCGTCTGAATATAACCTGTCAAAAGACTCTGGTTTGCATTGTCTTTCAGTGGGACACAAAACCAACCGCAGGGGTGGTTATATCCGCGAACAAATTCTGCTCTCTTTTCACTCCAGTCAAGACTTACCCCTACAAGACAATTTTAAAATAACACTATTAATGGTCATGACTGACAGAAGTCTAAAACTCTCATTAAAAAATATTATTAGATTTTTGTTTAAATATTTCTCTTGTTATTCCTGTGGATGAAAATTCAGCCCCAAGAATGGCCATTGAAGAATGAAAAAAACAAAATGACCAAGTAGAATTCTGACAGGGGACTAAATAGGTAATGCAGAAAGTTCTAATTTCTTCAGGATGGACAACATCATGTCATCTCGGTAACTCCCTGGAAACTAAGAATCGTGGATGTAGCATCCAGGCCTCCAGGTGCCAATAATCAAACCTGTGGTACCACCAACTCCTCATGGGCGCTCCCATATCCAACTTTGGTACTAGCTGGTTAAGAATAAACAAGTAGATGTTTAACAACTGTCAACTCAAGTATATACAGAAAATACATTAACTTACCTATAGATATATCTTGGAAAGCAGGAGCCTTCTAATAGCAGTATTTTTAATTTTGAAAAGAAGAATACTATATGACTCAGGGAAGTACAATATTCTAACACATACTAAGTCTATTTTGTTCTCTGTATATGAATAAGAAGCTATTTTTCATTTATTGGATCTCTTTCTTAGAGGCATGTGATCCATATTTGTTAGCTGTGGCCTGCAATATACTACATAACTGGAAATAAAAACTTAGAAAGATTTCAGAACCCTCTTGATACTGTTAATTTAATTCCTAGGGCTCACATTTGCAAACAAAGCCTAGGATTATAAAATAATTATGAAATCATATCTTGCATAGAAAGAAACATCCAGCCTAAGAAACTCAAGTATTTAAAACAAATTAAAAGACAATATAAGGTTTTGCGATCATTACCACAGGATAAAAGCCCTCCTTTATAGTCCACAGTGTAGGAGAAATCAACAAACTCTCTTGGGGAAATGATATTCCAAAGCTGACCAGCAGTGGTGTAACGCATCACACAGCAATTCTGAAGGCGAAAAGGTGACAGGTATTACTACTACAGGGACACATACATAGACTTATACATCATAAGTTCATCTTTAGCAAGAAACTAATACTCATTTAAAATGTACAATTAATAGTAATAATTTTTACAGTGATTCTGACAGGTTTAGATCTCTGTTCTAAGTCTCACTGCTGCTAGGTGCCCATGAAGAAGATAATCAAAACAGAGAGAGATAAGTTACTCCATATCCAAATCTCTAATTCAGTACAGCCACTCTGTATCCTGTATGATATTCAACGTGGAAGTAGGTGGTGTAGAAGTAGGAATTTAAAATAAAATCCACAAATACTTCTACTAACCTACCACACAGTTCAATAAAGAAACTCAAACACAACAATAACTGAATTAATAAAAGTAGAAAAAGAGAGCAAGCCACTTTGGTTACCTAATTCTCTGAAGTCTAAGGTGGCATTTTTATCCTTGGTCTTTGATTTTGGTTTAATATAAATAGAAAACTTACATACAATTACCTGGAAACCTGAAAAAAAAATGGTGTTTTCAGAATTTTAGATTTCAGAACCTCAAGTCAAGTTTTACAATGAAAGATGCTGATGGTTTTCCTAAGCAGCAAGGCTATCTAGAGCTACCGTGGAAAACAAACTCAGTTCTGACGGCACTCATGAGCTACTAGGAGAAAGCCCAACTTTGTAAAAGGCACCAAGGATTCCCTTGTGACAACTTTGCCATGACTACTTATTCTCAAAGCAATGACTGCAAGTGGATACGCATGCTCACACCCACAGGGCGCTCACTCTCTCGCTCTCACACACATACACACACACACATGCACACATCTGAAGTAATGTTTCTAAACAAATACCTCTTCAAAGTGCTCCAAGATGTCCAACGAAGTCATTAATCTGTCCCAATCCAAGCGACAGGGACCTGGACGTATATGATCCATTACACTACTGACAACGTCATCTATAACACCTTGGGCTTTGAAACTGGAGAAAAAATATTAAGGTCAAATACTATTAGAATAAAAAATTTCAGCACGCCCTCACAGTTCAGAACTAATTTCAAAAAGAACAAAAGTTAATTAAGATTTATTAAAGGGTGTAAATCCCAAAGACTTTTCTGGTAAATTATGTTCTATCAATTATTTCATCAGAATTTACTCTTTGTTTTCAAATCTAATGAGAAATGAAAAGGCTACGTTATATGTTATTATGAACAAAAATACCATCATGTTACAATGTGGCCAAAAACAGCGTGCAGAACAGTTACGCTTCCATTTATTTTGTATGATAGTCTTTTTCCAGTTATGCTCTAACATTAATAACATCAATACATATATTTTTACCCTGACTTTTAAAAACTTTTCATTAGGAACAGAAAAATAGGTCACCCAGGAATAGAACACCCAGAATTGACTCATGAATAATACTGAAACTTGACATATTTTAAAGGTGGCATTACATATTGGTGGGGAAAGTATGTATTATTCTGTAAATGATGTTTGGATTTACTAGTTGTCCTAAATGAAGAAAATAGAAACTAAATCACTACTTCACACCATTCAAAACAACTAATTCCAGAGTAAAGACTGCTATGTAAAATGCAAAACTATTAAACTTTGAAAAAAATATACAAGTGACCATCTTTGTGACCTCAGGATAAAGGGGATTTTTTTTTAATACATAAAAACACAAATAATACAAGATAGTTAAATTTAAAACTTGCATAACACACATGACAAAATAAGTAATTTCTTTAAAAACTAGTCATAGGCTGGAAGAAGATATGTGCATCACATATATACAGACATGATTATTATGCAGGATATATAATTCCTATAGACCAATGGAAAAAAGACAGACAATCCAAAGAAAAGATGGGCAAAAGACATGTTAAGATTGACCTGAAATGTCAATAAATTTAACAAAGATGATCAACTTCATTCATAATCAACTAAATACTAATAAGATACCATCTCATATCCCTCAGATTGGCAGAAAATATAAACTTAATAACAAGTATTGAGCATGGTTGGTATGGCTCAGTGGTTGAGCATCAACCCATGCACCAAGAGGTCGCCGGTTCAATTCCTGGTCAGGGTACATGTCCACATTGTGGGCCCGATCCCCAGTGGGAGGCATGTAGGAGGCAGCCAATCAATGTTCTCTCTCATCGATGTTTCTATCTCTCTCCCCCTTTCCCTTCTCTCTCTAAGAAATCAATAAAGAAAAAAAAAAATAAAAACTAAAATAATAAGTATTGAATGGCAAGGGAATGAGAACTCCCAAACTGCTGCCATCACTTTAGAGAGCAATTTGACAATGTCAAGTTGAATGATGTATATCCTTAAGATCCAGGTATACACCCAAAGAAAATCACACATGTGTAGGAGATAGCTACTATGAAGTTTACTATAGCACTATATGTTATAGGAAAGAATTGACAGCAACCTAAAAAGTTATCAGTAGGCAAATTTGCAAACAGAGAAACACCTTGTGGTATATACATGTAGAAGTGAAAGAACAGATCTATATGGCTAAATCCTGAAAATAAAATATTAAATGGAGCCCTGGCCAGTTTGGCTTAGCGGTTAGAGCGTCAGCCTGCAGTTCAAGAGACCCAGGTTCGGTTCCCGCTAAGGGCACATACCTTGGTTGCAGTTTGTCCCCGTCCCTGGTTGGGTCATACGGGTGGCAACCACTCGATGTGTCTCTCTCACATCGATGTTTCCCTCTCTCTCTCTGTTCCTCCCTCTCCCTCCCACTCTATCTGAACAAAAAATGGAAAAATGTCCTCGGGTGAGAATAAAAAAAAAATTAAATGGATAAAATTAAAAGCAAGTTACTAAAGGAAACACATACACACATTTAGTCAAATTATGAAACAGAAATAATACACACAACTTCAAGATAACAATTACTTCTAGGGGCAGGAAAGAAATGAGAAGAAATGAGAGACGGACTAGCTTTAACTCCATGAGCAACATTCTGGGAGGTCTTTTTTGTTTGTTTTCTTTAAAATGTCTGACGCTGTTTTATCATTTTACAAATTCTAAGTTCTAATTTATATTATTTCCTCCATCCTAAATCTGCTCTTCCCTCTTGTGTTCTCTAACTTGGGGTAGAGAATGGGAGGTGGGGATATTATAAATTAATCCAGTCACCCAAATGAGAAATCTTGGATTCAACTTTGACTCTTCATTTTCTCTTAACTTCATTTCAACAGTCAGAATTAAGAAGTCACCACGTTTTATTTTATTTATTTATTTATTTATTTATTTATTTATTTATTTATTTATTTATTTTTGGTACATGCCCCTAGCTGCTAGGGCCTAGTGGGAACTGAACCCGGCCAGGGCAAAGTTACCATGTTTTAATAAGATGAGTTCCTAAATTTAATAAGATGAGTTCCTAAATATTCAAAAAATATTGTCATTGCTATCATTATCATCTACTATCATCATCACTAAATCTCTTTCATGTTGATTTGCCCTTTATTTTTATATTTTTTTCCTTTACTGATTTTAGAGAGAGAGGAAGGAAAAGGGAGAGAGAGATAGAAATATTGATGAGAGAGAACAACGACTGGCCACCTCCTGCATGTCCCCCACTAGGGATTGGGCCCACAACCTCGGTATGTACCCTGGCTGGGAATTGAACCGGCAATCTCTTCGTGCACAGGTCAATGCTCAACCACTGAACCACACCAGCTGGACTGATTTGTCCTTTTCAACTCGCATGCTTTGTTTTTAGTTTGTGCAGTCTGTGTCCAACTCAACACTGCATCAGTCTCTAGCTCTTTTGATCTTTAGAAATCTGAAAAAAGTCTTCCCAGGAATATACACACTGATCCAAAACTTTGTATATAATCTTAGGGGAAATTCAAGAAGCTACCCATGGACCCACAGGTAAAACCTCTTCTCTGAGCTCTCCATGCCCATTTCACGATGCTATTTCACAATCTTATTAGAGTACATTTAAAATCCTTTGAGGAACGGGGAGGTGAACAGAGGGGCTAAACAGAGGGTAAGTGCCATCCTGAATTTCTTAGCTTAGTAGACAAAACTCCTGCACACGTATGTTCTCCCCACCCTCATACTTTGCTCCAGCTATACAAACACAACTTCTACCTCCCTAAACAAACTTCTTGAAGTGATTCCCATCTGTGTTTATGCAGTATGCAATTCCCTCTGCCTGGGACATGAATCAATCCTCCATTCCCTAAGAAATAACCATTCTTCCTTTTAGACTCAGCTCAGATATTAGCTCCTGTGTGAAGTCCTTTCAAATCACCAAACAAAATGTTCCCTTATCACTTTTTATACTTGTCAACCCCCACTGGGAATTACTGATCTAAAGGATTAACTTACTTTCTTCTTTTTTTTTTTTTCTGTTTTTTATTTATGTATTAATTAATTTATTTATTTTTGTTCCAGATGTTGCTTTTTCCCTCACTGATTCCCCCCTCCCACCCTGTCCCCAGCTTGTTGTCCATGTCCATTGTTCATGCATACATGCATATATTTTCTGTGGTTTATCTCTCCCCCACCACACCCTCTTCTGGGGATTGTCAGTCTGTACCCCACTTCCACATCTCTGGGACTACCCCATTCCTCAGACTGTTATGTTCATTATATTCCACAAATAAGTGAGATCATATGAAACTTGTCTTTCTCTGTTTGGCTTGTTTCGCTTAGGATAATACTTTCCAGGTCCCTCCATGTCGTCTCAAAGGATAAGAGATTTTTCTTTCTTACAGCTGCATAGTACTCCATTATGTATATGTAGCACAGCTTTTTTATCCATTCGTCTACTGATGGACATTTGGACTGTTTCCAGATCTTAGGTATTATAAATAGTGCTGCTACGAACATGGGGGTACATATATTCTTTCTGATTGGTGTTTCAGGATTAACTTTCTTAATCCACCTCCAGTTTCCCTGTCCTCATCATAAATATTGTATGACTCATCTTTCTGCAAAAGCTATCTCTGGTGTTATACACTTCAGAACATTCTGTATATAGTAAGTGAGGCCGGACCCCAGTTTTATTTAAAAGGGCTGAGTCCTAAGGATGTGAACATTCCACTCCAATTACACAAGGCAATTGTCCCCACTGGCTTTTTTAAGCAACATTTTTTTTTTTTTCTGGTTAAAGGGATAATTTATGTTCAACTACATAAAAATACCAAACAATGGAAATAAAAATCACCCATAAAATTGCCATCTAGAGGCATGCATCTGGTGTTAAATAAAAACATTTTTCAATATATAAAAATATATAAAGTCAACTCAAAATTGTGCTATACACAGTTGAATATTCATTGTATTTGCTTTAGATTATATGGTTAGCATTTTCTTGTGTTTTTAAATGATGTTTGCAAATGTATTTTTTAAAGATTGTAAAATATCATATAAGTTCCCAAATTTAATCATTCTCCAACTGTTGATTATTCAAGTTGTTTATAATTTTTAATATTATGAGCAATGCTGTGGTGGAAGAGACAAGTATTTAACTATTGTCTTTCTGATGATTTTTATTTTTTTCAATATGAGGTTTTTATTGCATCTTTAAAATATCACCAATAAGTGTGACAAATCATTCAGCAGATTGCTGTTTCTATAGCTGGACAACTTAGATTTTATTCATGAGTTTGCTGAACTGTTTCTTTTTCAGAAAAATAGATACTACCCCAAATTTTCTGATATCCTTGTTTTTAACTGTGTGGCTTGCTGAGTCAAAGCAGCTGAATTTGATACAGTTCAATGTTGTTTCCTTCAAGAATTAACTCATCTTTCTGGGCTTGAGTTACTGAACAAGCAACACCTGACCTCATCCGAACTCTGCCGATGTATTTTTCACCCAAGAACTATCTGATTTCAACAAGAGAACCATCCTCTTGAATAATGACGTGGATGGGGAAGTGAGCATACACAGACCTCATCTTGTAATGGAATCCCAGTGCAGCACCCTTGATCACGTTTTGTACATAACTGCAGATAGTATGAATTGTGGTCAATTCTTTTCTATTTCCCCACCATCTGTCAATCCAAAGCCTCTTCTTTCCAAGGAGACTGAGTTCTACATTGATGTGGTTGAATTCCCTCTGCAGGGTGCCTCTGGGGCCCTTCACAATAACTGTGCAGCCCTTCAGAGAGATGTCCACATTGTCTGGGATGTTCACAGTCCGATTGCTGAGAAGGATTTTCATCCTCGCAATGCATGTGGCAATGAGCCTGATGATTTCTTTAAGATAAATTCCTAGCATAAAGTATGCTATAACGCTGAGTAAATATAGAAGAGTATTAGAAGAATCTTATACACAATGCCAAGAAATTAAGATTTGTATCAGTCATTTCACATCATTATTTATGATTCCCTCACCACCAACTCAGTCCACAAGGGATAGGGACATAGGCTTTGACTTCATAAGGTAATTTGCTTCTCAGAAAGTTTAAATCTTAAAAGCAAAGGCTTAATTTTATTGGTAATGATCATTTAGTAATCATTAATGTGTGTGTGTGTGTGTGTGTGTGTGTGTAAATGTTTAACAATGTCTTAAGAGCTACATAAAACTATTAGAATTTACTTACAGATATCCATTAAATTCTTCTGAAGGTTTTCTCCAAATTGTGACATCTCTCTAGAATAATGAAAAACAGCATATGGTGATAATTACGTAAGTGGAATCTTGAATATAAAACTGACAATTTCATAAGTCTAGAACATTAGTCTTTGCATTAAAACTTAATATTCAGAGATGCATAAAAGTTATTTATACCATCAAATGAATTTGAATTTCTTCTCTATCCCAAATTTCTTCACATTTTACTTAAATTACAGACCTCCAAAAGAGATTTTTCAGCAGTTTAATGTGACTCAAACACTGTGAAGATTCAGTGATGGCTCTATGTCATCGGCCATTATTATTTATTTGCCTTATCCCAATCTTATCCACTGACACATTTAGACTAAGACATTAGACATGCTAAATAATTCATTCTGAACTTGCTCATATCTTTTAAAACATTAAACAATTCACATCTACAATGACAATGCTACCTTGAATTAGTTTCTACATTTTTTTTTTCTGATCATTTCCCAAGAAATTCTGAACATCAGAATAGCTAAAAACACTTAACCAAAATATTAAATGGATAAAATTAAAAGCAAGTTACTAAAGGAAGCACATACACACATGTGGTCAAAGTATGAAACAGAAATAATACACACAACTTCAAGATAGAAATTACCTGAAGGGAAGAAAGAATTGACAAGACAAGGGTTGGCTCCATCAACACTCAACCATGTGATAGTTTGGGCAAGTCAAATCGATAAAAAAGAATACTAACTGGCCACCCTCACAGGCATGTTGAAATAAATGAAAATATTCCAAACTATCATTTACTATACTTCCTTAAGTTGATAATGATACATTCTATCTGTTGACTTAAGAGGCTATTCTTTAGCTCTTGTTGCCATGAGTCTGTTCTCATGTCCAATATCTAAAGAACTAGTGAAAGCAGTGTGGGATTACTCTGTCTGTTACTTTATGACATGCTAAACCACCCACTTTATTAGCAAAATGATCTATCCTGCATATCCATCTGATGTATGGTCCATATTTTACCACACTATTCTGAAAGTCATTAACTAATTCATTAGACAGAAAATACATCCCAAACATAAGCAATTAAACTAATTTACCGTTTTCTTTGCAACGCGCCACATATCATCTTCAATGCTATGGTACTGGATGAGAGTGTTTTTAAGTTTAGTTGCAAAATCAGCAGCATCAGGCAGGCCTTCCATTTTTGTTCCCCTGAGACAGAGACCAAGATCAGCATCAGCAAACACCACATTCAGTTAGGTAACAACTCAGTTAAGTAAGTGTAAGGAAAATGGTCCTATGAAGACTTGTAGAACCACCAGCACAGCATCAATAAATGGTTCACGATTTTAAGAGAACAATTTTAATTATATAAAGTAGAAAAGTACTATATCACTAATAATTCCAAAGACAACGTACTGTTCAACATTATTTTTAAAGAGAAATGACTGCTAATCTTGAAAGGTAACAAACTTAAGAGATTCCGTAATGTCACCCAGCCAGTATGGCTCAGTGGATTGAGTGTCCTGCCATGGACTGAGAGGTCCTGGTTCAATTCCTGGTTGGGGCACATGCCTGGGTTGCAGGCTCAATCCCCAGTAGGGGGCGTGTAGGAGGCAGCCTACAAATGTTTCTCTCTCACATTGATGATTCTCTCTCTCCCTTCCTCTCTCTCTAAAAAATCAATAAAAACATATTTTAAAAAGAGAGAGAGAGATTCTGTAATGTGATGGTTTTAAAACACTGCTGCAAATTCTTTAACACACTTCCCACCAAGTCTGTGACTCTGCATGACTTCCCAGGCTAGGTTAGAAAAGTCCATGCAGCTTCTGCAGGTTTCTTTTAGAATGACTGCTTTGGGAGCCTTTGATCAACAATACAAGCATGCAAAAATCTGGCTCTCCTGAAGCTGACATATGGGAAGACCCAGGGAAAGAGGGAGAGAGACACCACTCCTAAGCCCCAGATCCAGAAGCCTACTCAGAGCTTCATGCCCCATGGGCACCTCTTGCTTCTCTCAATTTTCCTTAGTTTTCCCATCTTAACAATTTGCTAATAAAGGGTAATTGAGCCCATTGCTTAAAGTCCAAAACCTAGAAATCACCCTTAATAGGAATTAAGAGATTGCTATCCACACCTCCCCCACATCCCATTTACCTACAATGTTCTTTTCCTACTAGTTTTCTGTCTGTTCCTCAAATAGACCAAGCTTGTCACTGACTTTGGGCTTTGGGCTTGGTATTTCTCTACCTGGATTACTAGATCCCAAATATGAGCATGATCAATAACAACCTATAATGACAATTTTTCCATTTGGACCTCTTGTCCTTAACTAAGTCTTTTGTTAAGTCACTATTATAGCCTTCTTTTATTTCCTTCATAGTGCTTATCACTATCTGAAATTAAATTGTTCATTTATCGGTATACTGTATTCTACTCTTTGACCATCATATCCCCAACTAACAGCAGGAGCCCTTTTCTGCCTTATTCACCACCATATCCCCACCAATGAGAACTGCCTGGAACACATCAGGGCCCTAATCTTTGTTGCAGTGTTTGCCGCAAAACAAGAACTATTTGGTCTTAACTTTGCCTCCTTTTGGTGCCATGGTACACTCCAGGAAAAGCCTGACAGAGAAAAGGCTTTGGGGGGAAAGCTGTCCATTTCAGACCCATCAAGCTACTAAAAAGTAGATCAAGAAAAGATATAAATGACATATCAAGCCTCTGTGACAATAAGGCTTCAGTTCTCAACTACAGATGCATACATCAGGATCATCTTTGTTATATTTTGTAGTAGTTGTGCTATTGACAAGGACTCCCTCCTTAGTCTCCTCTGAGTCTGCTTTTTGACTAGGCCTAGCTCTCGGGTTGGTCCTTAGCCCCCTTGGTTCAGTTTTAGCAAGACTCCTGCTAGATCAATTTAGTGAAAATTCCTCACCCTCAAAAATTTCTCATCCCACCCTCATTCTTACCACTCTGGTCTACCTTCAGCAAGAATCCTATCAAGTCAATTTAGCCAGAATCCTCATTACCCCTAATGTTTCCTGTTAATAATTTTCCATCCAGTGACAACTATTCTGCTCCTTGGCTATAAATTCACACTTGTCCTTGCTGTAGTCAGAAGGAAGCACAGTTCTATATTGAGGTTTCCATTTCCCATCGCAATAGTTCTTAAACAAGATTTGTTTTTACCACTTTAACTTCTGCCTGACTCAAGTTTTTTTTTTTTACACTTTTTAGATGTTAGATTTCAGGGCCCACTAGAATAGACAGTGTGATCCAGTGGGTCTGTTCTGGGGTATGCCCCAGAAATCAAGGTCCTTTATAAAGCCTCAATGATCATTCTGTTATCCAGCCAGGGTTGAAAACCATTGATTGAAAAACTAAAGGTGAAAAATAAATCAATGTTGTAGTCAATGTTTAAATAGCACAACACTGAGCATACAAGCCATTAAAAACAATACACACTGAAATGATATAGAACTGTAGGAGAGAAAAATAACTTTCCCTCTACACTCTTAAGGTTCTGTCTCCGGGATGTGCAAATTAAATTGACGCAAGATAGATTAATAGGAGAAAGGTACACAAATCTTATTTGATGTTAAGATTTTAATTTTTACCTGTACAGAGGCCTTCATAAAAAAGAAATGGAGACCCAAAATAGTAGCTATACCCAGGGGCTTGCACAGCACTTTAATAAAGAGTGATAAATTATGGAGAAGTGGCAAGACAGAGGAAAAGGAGTTGGGCTTTAGGGGTGATAAATTATGGGAAGTAATTATATGGAAGAAAACAACAGAAGATGGGGTTATTCTAGTAAAGTTTGTTTGTGCGGACCATCTTGATGCCAACCTTCTATACCCAGTGATAAGAGTTGCCCTCCTCCTGGTGTATAAGAGAAATCAGCGAAGACCTTCACAAAGGGAAATTTATGCCCTACTTTAAGGCAGATAGTGGGAGGAATAGCTCTTTTTTCATTTGTTGCTGCTTAATTGCCTTCAGCTCAAAATAATCCTTACCCCAGGGTTAATTTCCAAAATATACAAAGAACTCACACAACTCAATACAAGGAAGACAAACAATTCAATCAAAAAACAAGCAAAGGGCCTGAAAAGATCTTCTCCAAAGAGGACATACAGATGGCCAACAGACATATGAAAAAATGCTCAATGTCACTAATCATCAGAGAGATACAAATTAAAACTACATGAGGTATCACCTCAGACCCACCAGAATGGCTACCATCAACAAACAAGTGCTGGTGAGGATGTTGAGAAAAGAGAACCCTAGTATGCTGCTGGCTGCAGACTGGTACAGCCACTGTGGAAAACAGTATGGAGTTTCCTCAAAAAATTAAAAATGGAACTGATGTTTGATCCAGTGATCCCACATCTGGGAATATATCCTAAAAATCCTGGAACACCAATCAGAAAGAATATATGCACCCCTGTATTCATAGCAGCACTATTTACAACAGCTAAGCTCTGGAAACCACCCAAGTGCCCATCAGTAGATGAGTGGATAAAAAGCTGTGGTACAATTACACAATGGAACACTATGCAGCTGTAAGAAAGAAGGAGCTCTTACCCTTTGCAACAGTACAGATGGAACTGGAGATTATTATGCTAAGCAAAATAAGCCAGTTAGAGAAAGACAAATACCATGTGATCTCACTTATATGTGTAATCTAAATAAACTAACAAACAAAATAGGTCCAGAGGCATGGATGCATGGAACAGAATGCAGATCTCAGAGGGGAGGAGGGTGGAGAGGACAGGAAGAGATTAACCAAAGAACATATATGCATGTATGTATTGCCCATGGACACAGACAATAGTGTGGGGAAGGTGTGGGGTGGGGCAAGGGCTGGGTGGAGGGAGGCTAAGGGGGTGGGGGTGGTGGGAGGAATGGAGGACATCTGCAATACTGTCAATCATAAATTAAAAAGAAAAAATAATAATAATCCTTATCCCAAGTGGCATATTTTGGGGTGGCATATCTCTTCAGAAACATGGGAAAGTATATCTAGAAAATTCAATATAGAAAATTTAGGACCTATGTAAGTGATGCCAAATGTATAACAAGTACAGATCCTACCTGAAGACTAAATGTGAATGAGCTCATTCAAAAAGTCTGCCAGTCAGGAATATATCCCATTTCCATTCAAAAGACTGCCAACTTGATAGCCAGAACAAAGACCTTATTCAAGAATATGTTATAAACAAGCATAAGTTCTTAGAGAGGACTTGCAAAAGAAATTTCATTTATCTATTACTGGGATCACCATAATTAAACAAATTCTTTAAACCCAAAGGTTGCCTGCCAGGTTCCTGTGGTTGGCAGGTAAGAGAATTTTTTTTCAAAAATATCTGATAGAAATCAAAGATGAAATGGAAAGCTACTGTTATCATAAACAATATTATCTCTGTGCAAATCCAGCACAGAAAATGTAAGCAATATAAACTATAAAAATGAGAATCTGAATCTTTATGGTGCTTACCTTAGTAATCATTCACTCCTACTGATCACTATCAAGTCTAAAGTCCTTAATATGGCTTATGGACTCTTTCATGAACTGGCCGAGCTTCACTGCCCAATTTCTACTTTTCTTTCCTGGATTCCCCTAAAGATTAGGTTAGCTCCCCATCCAGTGCTTTCTCACAGCAACTCTTTAATTATTCACTTGTCATCCTCCCCTATTTAACTGTACATCTTCTGGGGCAGGAAATGTGAAGTCTAGCATACAGTAGGAACCCAGTGAATAAAACAGAAAAAAATGGGTGGACAGTGAGCTACTGGTCTGGAAGACCTGAAGATATCTAAGGCAGGCCCGTTTATACTAATCATCCTTGAATGACTAAAACTTCCATTACTGTAATGAAAAACAACAATTTCTCAAAGAATTCTACTATTTTATTCACCAAGTGTATATACCAGGTCCTAGAACTATAGAAATGGATATAATCCAGTTTGTGCTTATGTCACCCTTCAAGTAAACTTTTAACTGCAACAGTAACAAAAACTAAAACAATAAAAACTGCTAATGAGTCACTTTAAGGGTGGCGGAGTAGGAAAAGAATAAACTATAAACTGGGAAAGCTCTCTTTTAGCCAATAAACTATTTAACCAGTTAATTCTTGCATGCATTTTTGTTCATCAAGCTTAAGTCCAAAAGGGAGTAATGGTTACTGTCTAAACTATGTATGTGTGGGCAGACATGATGTAGGATCTCTAGAAATATATGCCAGAACCAAGACGGGGCAGGGATTATCAAGGTCTTGGCACTCTCCTAATATAACAGGACATTCACGCTAATTGAAAGAAAAGCATGCCATATGCCCTACTGCAATCTCCATCTGCAGAGAATGTCAGGAAAATGTTTTAAATACCATTCTGAACACCCTCTTAACTAACTCTTTAATTCCCTTTCTTGACCTAATATCAGGAAACTCTCCAGCTCCACCACTTACATTTCAGAGAGAAGTGATACCACTTAACCTTATCAGAATCTAACAGCTCCATATAAAAGATTATATGCTTTTGATAGTTTTACTACACAGTGCTGAGTAATGTCCATCTTCATTGTTTCCTTACTTTAACCCTTTTGTTCATGTTTTCTATGTCCATATTTTTGAAGTGATCACTGGTGTAGATAATGGGTGCCATCATAGAGTGAGCAGCCTTCTCCAGTAAAAATTTTTCTATGAGTCCCATAGTCTTTGATCAGTACAACCCCAATTTTCGTCAAATATATGTCACAGTGAAATGGTGACAGGCTGCATTTTCTAGAACATAATAAACATCTCAACCTCTAATAAATATGATTGCCATCAAAATCTGTTTGTACTTATGTAGTATGATTAAGTCAGAATTCACTTAAAAATGCTTATATCAAAATTGACCTTCCATCAATCAATATATGAGTTTCATTTATGTGAATAGTTTCAATTTAACATGCCACAGATTTCCCCCCAAAATGCTGTGCAAACCAAGGCCTTTTAAATTACATTACATTGTCTACTTAAAGTAACAATTTCAGCATATGCATGATTTCCAATCAGTCTTGAATAGGTAATTTAGCTTTTCCAACTCAGTCAAGTAGGAAGTTTCTCATTTTTGAGATTGTCTACAGCAGGTGTACAACAAGGAAGCCCACTTCTGCAATGTGACTAATGTTCCTCTGTTTAGTGCCCATTTTGGTTTATTGTATGTAGTACAAGCTTTACAACAGTGTTGAGACTTTTTACAACACTCAAGGCAACACTGAATTCTAATGACAGCACAACTTAAGTTTACGTCCAAGTTAATGCTCAAGCTCCTAATACTCTAGTCCTTTGTTTAAAATAATCAGAGCTAACATTTCTTTATCATTTACTATGTGATCAATTTTTTGGCCACTTTAATTTGTATTTTTTCATTTAATCCTCATTAAGAACCTTAAAATCCAGCCTTATCCCTATTTTACAGAAAGGAAAAGGAGCAATAAGGAAATTAGGTCACTTGTCTAAGATCATACAACTAGTAAGTGATGGAGACAGAATTCCAACCCAAGGCTTCTGACTTCAGAGACTAATGGTCTATTTTGTAAAACGCTGAAAGCTGATCACTGGCTTGAAGACACTTTACATTAAAATTCTGACATCAGCCCTGGCTAGTGTGGCTCAGCTGTTTGAGCATCCTCCCATGCACCCAAGGGTGGCCACTTCCATTCCCTGTCAGGGCACATACCCAGGTTTCCAGTTCAATCCCTGGTGGGGATGTGTAAGGGAGGCACTGATGGGCGGATGTTTCTCTCTCACACAATGTTTCTCACATAGATGTTTCTCTCTCCCTCTCTCTTACTCTCTAAAAATCAATAAAAACATTTTTTAAAATCTGATATCATATTGAATTTTTCATATTTCGTCCTGACTTCTGAAACCACAATAGCCCTGGTAATTTAAGGATAACAGTAACACTAATGTTTTGAGGAATTGCGTAAGTTTATACACTTAGCACCGAACTTGGAAGATTCGCACAGTGAGCACTGGAAAAAGCCCTCTTACCATCACCATCTCGGTCAATGCTTAGTGAGAGGATGGACCCTACGCTGCCTGCGCACCTACAATAGCCAGGAAGCACGGTGCCCTTCACAGAACTGACCTTAATGAATCTTCACCGTGGCCCTGGAAGCCAGGCTATTATCACCCCTTCTCAATTTAACAAATGAAGAAACTGGGTTTAATCGGTGTCCAAACGCTTAAAGTTGCTGAGCAGTGCAGAGACGAGGCGCAATCCCTGGGTTACTTCCGGATCGCCCTCTGCCCCCTCCCCCCTTCAGTTTTCTCTCTCACCTGGGAGGTCCACACCGGCCCGGACGCCGGGGGCGCCACGGCCTCCCTCCACTGCCGCTTCCCTCCCCGCACTCCCCGCAACAGCTCCGGGACAACGCACCGGCCCCGTCGCCCACCCACCAAGCCGCCTGGCTTCCGCCGCGACCCCGCTCACTTCCCCAAGGCTACCTGGGAAGCAGCGAGGAGTGAGTGGCACGGAGCTCAGGAGCATCAGACCCGGACTGAACTCGCCGCTCCCCGCAGCGCTGACGCGTTCAAGCTCGCTAAGCTTCCCTGCCCGTCGGGGCAGCGGTGTCAGCCAATGGGCGTCGAGCCGCTGCGGGTCGCAGCCAATTGGAAGGCATCGAGCTCCTCAGGGGAAGGCGGGCCGAACCTCCAGCCAGCCACGCCCCCGGCTCGAACCTTGACTCGGCGGGGGGCTAGAAGCAGAAGTTGGACCGAGCAACGTGTGTTCGTTTGGATTGGCTGGCGCGGCAGCGTGCAGAGTGCTGATTGGTCGCCGGAAAATGGAATGATTCCGCGTGGGTGTGAGTTAGCGGGAACTGCCCGGGGTTTCCTGGCGGTGTGCGTTTCGCTGACGTGGGGTGTCCCACGGACGATTCCAGCCCAGAGAAATACAAACACAAAGAAGTGAATGGTGACAGGAAGGCATTAGGCGGGCCCAAACTCTCCTCAGCTGTTAAGATCTAGAACACGCCTAAGCACCACCCTCCCAGGACCTCAAGTCAAATAAGAAGAGGCCCCGCCGGTGTGGATTGAGAGTCTCCCCATGGACCGAGAGGGTTCGATTCCCGGTCAGGGCACAAGCCCGGATTGCGGGCTCCATCCCCAGCATGGGGCGTGCAGGAGGCAGCCAATGGATGTTCCTCTGTCATCGAGGTTTCTATCTCTCTCTCCCTTCCTCTCTCTAATAAAATAAAAACAAAAGAAGCATATTTAAAGAAAAGGCGCCAGTGCTGAGGATGATGCGCCCTGCCACGGTGTGAATCTTTGTACCCAGATAAGGGAGTTTGGAGGCAGACAAACTTGAAATTAGAGAAGTGTGGCAGGTATCTTTGACAGCCTCACGAAGCGCTCTAGTTTTCATCTATTTGAAGGTACCTTTTCGTCCAGTGGTTGTGAGGTCACCCATCTGATGGGATATTTGGCAAATCTGAATTCTAAAAATAAGGTGTTTGCTAATTATATTTACTAGGATATGTAGTTTGAAAACCCAGACTAGGAATGAATGGAATGCTACACTGTTAGTCATTATTGATATACTTGCAATGAGAATAAATCATACTTTATGTATTTTTAAATTAGCATTAGGAAAAGAATTACCACACTCCATTTGCTAGCTATTATTGGCAGGTTTTTTTTGTTGTTGTTGTTTTTTTTGTTTGTTTTTGGTGAAGGGACACATCGAGTGGCTGCCACCCGCACGACTAACCAGGGCCGGGGACAAACTGCAACCGAGGTACGTGCCCTTAACGGAACCGAACCCGGGTCTCTCCCGACCGCAGGCCGTCGCTCTAACCGCTGAGCAAAACTGGCCAGGGCTATCAGCAGGTTTTTAAAAAAATCCTACCTCAATGCCCTGGCTGATTTGCCTCAGCAGTTAGAGCATCGGCCCTTGGACCGAAGGGTTGTGAGTTTGATTCCTAGTCAAGGGCATGTACCTGGGTTGCAGGTTCAATCCCTGGCCCTAGTCAGGGTCGTGGAGGAGGCAACCAATTGATGTGCCTTTCTCACATTGATGTTTCTCTCTCTCTCTCCCTCCTTTTCACTCTCTCTAAAAAAATATAAATGGAAAAATATCGCCCTGGCCGGTTTGGCTCAGCATTAGAGCATTGGCCTGAGGTCCAGAGAGACCCAGGTTCTGTTCCGGCTAGGGGCATGTACCTCGGTTGCAGTTTGTCCTCGGCCCCGGTTGGGTCGTGCAGGAAGGAGGCAGTCATTCAATGCGTCCCTTTCAGGTCGATGTTTCTCTCTCTCTCTCTTCCTCCCACTCTATCTGAACGAAAAATGTCCTCGGGTGAGGATAAAAAAGAAAAAAATATCCTCCAGTGACGATTAACAAAATAAATAAATAAATAAATCTTACCTCATTGTTGATCTATAAAAGGAGCTGATCACTTTCCATTATAATAGGTGAAAACACACCTATGCTGGGGTGCTGTTAAATGGACTCAATGAAATATCAAGTGTGTAAAACGTTATACAAAGCACTTTCTCCCAACTATCTCAAATTATTACCCATTTATATGCAAACAAGGACCACAATTGTCTAACAATAACTAACAAGTTACCTTAAGGCAGGTTAGTTTCTGAGTAGCTGGACTGGAATTTGGTCTTAGTCTACTGAAGTCTAAAACTGGGGCTCTTAACTCCCACAAAACTCAGTGCGTTTCACAGCTGTCAGTCAGGCACACATGGGGACCAGAAATAAAAAGCCTAATCCCTGCCCAGAAGGTTTATGCTGTTTAATGGAGGCGAGGAACAAGTTCTCATACCCTTTTCATAAAAGTGGAAAATTAGTATCCCTTGTTATTAGGATTCAGATATGGGTACATTGCGGGGCAGTTCTGCATATTATCTCACAGAATCTAGCAGAACTCTTTAAGACCAGATTAATAGCTTTTCTTTTTGTGTAAGGGGGTGCTGCATCAGGTCATTGCATCCCACTTATGTCCAGTGAGGTGAGTTATGTTTCTTTGCTTTTTATTCTTCATCTGTTGCCATGTTTTTCTAGGTTACAAGCTGGGGTCATTAAAAACCACCCTGTGTCTATCAAACTGAAATGCTACTAAAAGCAGACCTGCAGGTTCAGAAAATATATGTATATATCATCTGGAGCTTTTCATGTGTGCTTACTATGAATCAGGAACAGTGCTGAGCATTTTACACAGTGACTCATTTAAACCTTGTAACAATCCCAGGAGGTATATGCTATTATTGTTATACTCATGAGATAACCATAGTATATAGGACAACAGACAGGTCCCTCTCCAAATAATTTGAATATGGGGAAATAAGCTTTACATCTAGACTTCAGGTATAAAAGAGACATGTAATGTATTTGACCAGCTGTGCGGAAAGTCACCCTAAAGAGACAAAACAGCTTCCCTGACCAGCTCTGTCTGTAATCAGAGTAACTATATTAACAAATCTAAAGAAAGAATTTCCAAGAAGAAAAACAGTGGAAAAAAGTTGAAAACACAGGAATAATATATTCATAATTTCTAACCAGGAGGCAATAAATATAGAAATAAAATAAAACACACATGCATAAATATCCCCAACTACTTGAAAACTAAAAAAAAAAAAAAAATGTATCCCCCAAACTCTTAGATCAAAAAGAAAATCAAATATTACTTACTGAAAAATATTAATAAAAATATGTAAAATATCAATAAATATTAACATTAATAAAAATAAATTTAAAATAAAACCCCTATATATCAAAAGCAGGGAATATGACAAATTTAATATTTAAAGAATTTGACACAGGAAAATTCACAGCCTTAATTCAATTCGGCAAATGTGTATAAAATACCTGTTGTAGGAACCCTGTTGAAGCTGGGGCAGTTAAGAAAGTGAAATCCAGCTAATTTCAGAGCTGGATTTAATTCTGAACTTTTCATTTACATAACTCACTAAATTTCTTTTCTTTTCCTATTTTCTTTTTTAAGTCAATTTGAGTTGGTTTTTTCTCTCATTTAGGACGAAGGGGGCTTTAGGAAATGGAGGGCCCCTTTTCCCTTGCCACACTTTCTCCCTTTGTTTTATCCCGCACATGGCCTGGAGAGCCAGGGAAAGGGTGGGGTGTGGGGACAGGATATCCTAGACTTAGCTCTAAGGAAGGAGGACCTGAACATTTTTAGCTTTGGCTGTGGGGAGACAAGGGAGTTCCTGCATTCCTGAGCAGCTTCTGCACATAGCCGGGCAACTTTCTGGGTGAGGCTATTTATACATATGTCGAGTGAACACATATATAAAAATTATGTATTTCTTTTGTTGTTACAAATTTCACACACACCAAGGCCACGTTGAAACGAGTTTCCTTAAGGCCAAACTGTATTTTCCACGTTGGATTCCATGAAATGCTCCTATAACATTTCAATAAAACTTCATGTCGTGAATGGGTTTCTGTTCCTTGTAATCAATCCCAGACTCACAGAAGTACAACACTTGGCCTATCCCTTGAAGGAGACTTTTTACATGCTTAAACAAATGGACTAATGTCAACTAGGGTTATTAACTACATGCTCTTGTCAAGAAGGAGGCAGAAGACTTTGCACAGCTTTTTAAACATAACTGAAACTTAGTTTCCTTACCTGTAATGTGTGGTTAAGAATATCTTCTTTGCAGGGTTGTTGTAACTGTTCGAGACAGTGGCTGCAGAGGTTGGCATAGCCTTTGGCACTATGTGGGCACACAGACAAAGGGCGTGGGAGTTAGGGAGGATGTGGAGCACAGATCCCCAAATCTCCCATTCATCAGCATCGTGGGAGGCATGTGAAAAATAAAGATTTCAAACCCTATTCTAAAACTACTAAATCAGAATCTCTGGGGGTGCGGGTCTGGGAATGTGACTTTTAACAAGCCTCCCTGGATTAGACCACCTACCTCATCTAAGACCAGTCTGACCAGTGTGTAAGACTCCCCAAAAAAGACAGGGAAGCAAGATTTGTGTGAGAACATAGCAGGCCAGAGGAACAGGCAACTGTTAAGAATCAATGGGTATAATGCTCAATTGACCATGGTGTTTATTTCTGTTACTTACTTCTTGTGCTTCACTGTTTTGTGCTATATGCCCTAATGTTTCAAGCTGATGCTCATTTGTTTTTTTAAAAAAACAAAAACAAATAAATACACTTTTAGGGCATGTTTTAGTAAAACATGCTGTACCAATGTATACAAAATATTTATGTGAGGAGACCATAATTAAAACAAGCAAACAAAACTCAACTTTTACTAATTGTTCATGTATCAAAATATTCAGATGAAAATGGAGGCCAATTAACAAAATTATAATCATCCTAAATGATATAAATAGCTGATACCAAATTCTCCTTAGCAGATAGCACCAATGGAATGTGTGATATAGCCCAGGCACTGCTCTAAGTAGGTACTACGATGACCCCCCATCCTGCATATGAGGAAACTGAAGCAGAGGAAAGTTAGGTAATTATCCTAAGACCATATGCATAATGAATGGCAGAGATCATTCTCCCTTTCAGTATGAAAGCTAATGCCCTGTCAGGAGCGATAGCACTTCTGT